GTTTGAGAGGAGTCCATGGTATATTCAATATTCTTCTCCAGCACCAAAGCTCAAAGGCATCAACTCTCCTTCTGTCCTCCCTAGTCATTGTCCAGCTGTCTGATGCATAGCATGTAATGGCAAAGACCATGGCCTGTATCAGGCACACCTTAGTCTCCAGATTGACATTGTTGCTCCTCAGTACCTTGGAGAGGTCCCTAGCAGCTGACTTTCCCAGTGCAATTAGTCTTTCAATTTCCTGGCTGCTGGTACCAAGAATGTTGACTGTAGAGCCAAGCAAACTGAAGCTGCCAACAGTCTCAATCTCTTTACCATCTGTAATGATGCTGCCAATCGGCCCAGTGGTGAGAATCTTTGTTTTCTTGATGTTGAGCTAGATGACATATAATATTCCTATTATGATTGTGTTTTATTAGACTAAAGTATGATGTGGTAGTACGGTTAACTAGTTTCAGTGGTTTTTATCAGAGCACTGACAGCAGATTCCTTGGTACCTAAGAGCTGGTCATTTTATTGTACAAAGACCTTACTCAAGGAATTTGAGTGGTGTAGTGGTTAAAGATTGAACTGCTAACAAAAAAGTCAGTGTTGTAAACCCATCCATAGCTCCATGGGACAGAGTGGTGCAGTCTGTCTCCATAATGTTGTACACGTTGGGCCACTCTGAGGCAGAATCAGCTTTACAGCAGTAGCTTAAATTTGGTTTTATTCATACACATCCTGCATTCTGCAGAGATTTCCCTCTTCCTGGATGTCGGCTGAAGCATCTGTAAAACTTTTTCTGTTACAGACCTCCACCCAAATCAACAACAAAAAATTCATGATGGTCCAATGAAAGCCATTTGTTTTAGTGTATTATCTGTTATATAGGGAGCTCTAGTGGCCTAGGTGAATAAGGAATTCTACTGCCAACCCAAAGGCAGGTAGTTCAAATCCACCAACTGCTCCTCTGGAGAAAGATGAGCAGTTTTCCATGTGATTTTCAATCTCTGAAAATCCACTGGAGGATTAGCTATGAATAGGATTCCAGCTTAACAGCACTTAAATAATATCAGCTATACACATGATATGATTGTGTTTATCATCATGTCCTTTAACTAAAGCTATATGGATACGTTATGATCAAAGACACGCTTTGGTCAATAGAATCAGACCACACATTGCTTTATCTAGAGAGAAAGCAGTACCAGAAAACCATAGTTTATCCTAAGCAGACAGCATTCAGGGGAGTGGAAACCGTTCTCTAGTATCCTTACAGATTATCCTTACAGATCACAGATGGACATTTCTGTGGCACCATTGAGAAGACTTCATGTGTTGTCATGGATCGTGTTTTTGTTTCCTTGCTTGTTTGTGTTTTGATAAAGAATCACTAAGTGCTGTCAGATTGCCTCTACTCATGGTGACTCGAAATAAACAACAGAAATAATTACGTTGGCTTTTCAAGGCATGAGTTTGTTTTCCTCCACTCTCCTTCCCCTCAATTGACACTGTATTGTTAAGTTGGAAACACATTTGAGCACGGGAATTTTGTATCCACTTAATTCAAGGCATTTATATAGGTTTGGCCCATTTCTGTCAAGCCCTCATTGCATGTTCAGTATCTTTTTTATTCTGACTCAAATAGTCTTGATTTTCAGTGACATTTATGTGTACTATAAGCGATAGAAATTATAAAGAATTATTCTTACTAGTAGTACTTGCAAACCAGTACTGTTTACTCATTTATGACTTACTGCTCTTTTTTCCATTTCTTCATATACAAGCCATTGAATTCCTGGTTTTTTGTTTTGATTTTCGTTTGCTTGTTGCTTCTCACAGACACCAAGGACTTACTGCTGTGCTAACACTGAGGATCTGGAAACAGCTATTCACCACGTGCATGGCCTGTACCCCTCGGCTCCTTTCCTAGCAGCAGGAGTTTCAATGGGAGGGTAAGGTTTTCCTTTCATAACTGAGTGTGAAGCAGTCATACCAATGACCTGTTTCAGTGGACTAGAAGCGATGAAACATTTAAAATATATTTGATTATTTTTCTGTATATTAACACTCGTGGTTCCAGGAATGAGGGCATGAATTCAAGTAAATGTTAATATCAAGCAGTCCCTGTCTGAAGAGGACGAAAGTGTTTCCACACTTAGAGTTAAGTGAGCCTCAAGGCTCATACCCACGAGCTTGTTTTCCATTGCTAGTAGCCGCCATGCCGAGCTTCTGCTTTACTGACGCACTCCCAGCCATCTCTGTAGCCATTTCTTCTTGACCGAGTGGGAAGCTGACCGTGCAGGATAACTCCCATCACTCCAGTAACAGAGACAATCACTTATTGCTCCCTCCAAGTGCAGTGATGTTCAAAAATGGCTTTCCCCAGATATTTCTGTCTGTTTTGTTTTTTGTTCTTGGGCACATAGATCTGGCATTATCTTACTAGTTTGGAAGTTTTGCTGCTAACCCCCTTCACTTGAGCTGCCCTTTTAAGCTTATGTATATTATTATAATTCCAGTGCTTATACTTGCATTGGGTTTATTTGGTTATTTTTGCCTGTTGTGTTTATATTGAAAGTTATTTATACTAGCTTTTTGTTGTTGTTGTTGTTGTTCTAATGGTGGTTGTTAGAAAAAGAGTTGAGGATGAGAGAGAAAGAAAGAAAGAAAGAAATTGTTCCCAAGAAACGAACAGGCCTTTATTGTGTGGTCTGAGAGGGATGCCAAGTAACCCAGTCAAAATGGTGTGTGGGCAATTTGGGGAGTTCTTTCTTATAGGAGTCCTGGGGAGAACTAAGGAAGATGGTATTTCTCGGAATTTGGGGTGCTAATTAAGTTAGGTTTGGGCTGTTTTGATCAGGCTCAGAGCCTTATCAGGATACATTGTCTGGTCTTTGATATGACCAGCTTAGATGTTACCAAGTTTTTGAGGAAGTGATCAAGACCAGGGGGTGGGGGTGGGGCAACTGCTTATTCTTCCTCCAGTGGTAAGTTTAAGGAAATGGAAAGTGTTTTTATCTGGCATTTGATTATGCTTTAGCTTTTTCTAAACCATTGTCCAAAATGACTTTTTAAGGCAAAATACTTGACTTTTTTTTTTACTTTATTTCAGCTTCCAAGATATCTTAGCAGTATATTGACTTGAAAATGATAGACTTTACAAGGCAGGTGCTGGAAAATAAGCCTTAACCATAGCTTTTTAGATTCTGATAAGCCTGAAACTGAGAATGCATTTCTTACATTAGCATGGAAGGTCTGTCTTGACCTACTAAAGAAAGAGCTCTGAATCAGTGCAGACAAACTAGGCAAAAATCTCTGAATTGTGCTTCGTGGACAATATTTAGCCTCTCTCCCCTTTGCCTCATACCATGAACTTTAAAGGAAATGGTGTCAGCGGAACTTTTTCCCTTTAATCATATAAATTCTCGACCTTTTTTTTTTAAGGTAAACCTTACATAAAGAGGCCGTAATACTCTATTCAGAAGTTCCTGGAAAATGCTTATTCATGACACATTGAAGCCTCGGCGCCTGAAGGCCGAACTTGACCATTAGCTTTTGCAGCTGGTTGAATATTAATGCCTTATAAAGTATTTGAAAGTAGCACCCTTCCTAGTTGCCTGGCATTGTGACACATTCCCAAGCAGGTTTACCACTTGGAGATGAGTTTTACAACTTAACAGATTGCTTTGGTGGGGTTTTGTTTTGTTTTTTGGTAGGATGTAAATTCAGCTTTAAAAGGCATCATCTTTAAAAAAAAAGCATAGTTTGTCTAGCATTCTTATGAGCAGTGTCCTTTAGGCTGGGGTAATCCCCAAGCCCAGGATGCCTTGGGCCAAGCCCAGGCTTTGAGCCAGAACTGAGTCTAACAAAGGCACCCGTGCCGCAATATTACTCTTATTCTGTGCCATTGACTTAATTCTGATTCATGGCAACCCTACATGACAGAGTAGGACCATTGGGTTTCCTAGACCATAATTTTTTTTAATTTTATTAATTTTAATGATTTT